GATGAAAAATATTCTCTCCAATCTGAATCTATTCTTAGAGGGTTCCTAGTTCATTCTGAATGCATTAATAATATTTTTTTTGGTTGGTTTTTTTTTAGTTATATCAGCTGCCTTTTTTGATTTTAATAGTTCACTAGGTCCTATTGAAGGTAATTTACCCCTTAATGGACTTGATGCTGGTGTTACTATCTCTATTGGTTCATCAGCACTTTTTCCTGTTATTGCCTCTGCTGTTTTTGCTGTTGCTGTTTTTGCTGTTGCTGTTTTTGCTGTTGCTGTTTTTGCTGTTACTGTTTTTGTTGCTGCTATTATTGCCTCTGCTGTTTTGGCTGTTGCTGTTTTTGTTGCTGCTATTTTTGTTGCTGCTATTTTTGTTGCTGCTGTTTTTGCTATTGCTGTTGTTGCTGCTGCTGTTTTTGTTGCTGCTATTTTTGTTGCTGCTTCAGCTGTTAATAGTTCACTTAAGGTTGCCTCATGTTCAGAGAGCAAATTATCTAAAGAGGTTTCTTCCTTACTTTCTTCAGTCTCTTCTATTTTTTTTTTTGTCTCTCTTCTATTTTTTTCTTTTGTCATTTTCACAGTACTACTCTATCATTATTACTATTATCATCATCTGCATGGCTACCTTTTCTTTTTATTTTTGCACTATCTTGTTCTTTCCCAATATCTCTTGCTCTAGCCTTTTCTTTCCCAATATCTCCTGCTTCAGCTTTTTCTTGTCTAATATCTCACACCTCACCTTTTTCCTTCCTAATATCTCCTGCTCCACCTATATCTTTTTCTTTTTTTTTCTCACTACCTTCTCCTTTTATTTTTTGCCCTTTTCGCTCACTTTTTTTTTCTTTTTTCTTAGGTCTTTGTCACTGGTTGAATAATCAGCATCAAAATCTTTTGCCATTAAATTATACTTTTTTAGGGCTTCATCAGATAATACTTAATTCAGACAATCATCTAGAGGTTTACTATTATTATCGATATCATCTTCATAGTAGTATTCAATCATTCACTTGTTTTTAGGCTGAAATAGTTTTATATAAGGATCAATCCTTTTGTGAAATAGCTATTTAATCTAATAATATTAGGCCAATATTAGGCCAATATTAGTAAAATAATTATATATTTTAAATTTTAAT